CCCAACACAACAGCTTCCAGACTGATCCCAGATCTCACTGTTCACCTTGGATCTTCAGGCTTGACCCGGTATGAGAGATCCTGAACATCATTCGAAGGACCAATACAGCAGTCTGTAATGTCTCACCTAAGTTTAGGCACGCTTGTGAATCCTGGATGAACTCTCTTGGAGACTGGAGAGAGGTTGGATCACGCTCATACACGGGCTCAGGATTTGATGACAGGCATCTAATCTGACCTGCGTTCCCTGCCTTCACCTCACCAAAAAAGAACCGATTTTGGATTTTCCCCTCATCTCTTCCAAACAGTTTGCAGTAGCCGCCTAAAATAAGATATACTTGTCCCTTTTCACACCGCCCTGTTAAAAGGCCTGTAGCCACTTTTGATGTCTCTCCCAGCTCTGGTGGGGTGTGGAGACACGATCCAATCCATCGGTGGATCACAGCCGCAAGACGCGATCGCATTTGTGTCTTCATAAGGATTCCAGCTTTTACACCAAGTACCTGTGACGGCCAGGATGACTGCATTCACCACCTGGTCGTTGGGCGAACCTGAAAAGAGAAGAACTGAATGAAGAAGCTCACCACAGCCACTAAACACTTGGGAAGGACTGGAAGGCAGCAGGACCGCGACGGGCCGCCCCGATCCTAACGAAGCAGTTTTCAGGCCGCGAGAAACGGCTCAGGATGAAGACAAATCGGGGCTCACCGTTCTCCAGCACGGTGAACGATTCTCTCGCGGCGCTACACCTCCATGTCAAAGGCTTGACGTCCTACAGAACGGCCCGGGTACGTGTTCCACGCGTTGATCGCTTCCTGACCAGATCATTTCCAGCGACACATTTCTCAAAATGCCGAACCTGGCTTTCAGCTGCCTTCGTTTCGAATAACTATTACGTCCCCCCCATGACGTCTCTGGAAACCAGAGAGACAGACCTAAGATAGACCTTCAGACCTGGAAAGTGTGAGTATTGGGCCAGTGAGGTATGATTTGTGCTATGTGCGCTCATGACGTCTTTACTTCAGAGCAAAAGATTGATCCACCTGAAATGGGGCGGGGGTTGTTTAAGGGGACCCCATTTCAGGGGGGGGGGGGGGGCATAATTAATAATGTTATTCGAACACAGCTAACCATGCGCGTAAAATAATACCCCGAAGATACAGAAGCTGGAAGTCTCTGCTTCAGCCCGATACCTGTGTTTGGACCCTCACGTTCCGGGACTGTAGTCGGACAAGAGGGGCGACAGTGGCGCCCAGTACTCACGGCTGTATCCCACCAGAGAGCCCATCGCCAGGAGCAGGCTCACCGCCAGCACAGGGGCTCTCTTGCCCATGAAGTCCGAGATCAGGCCCTGGACAGTTCCTCCTGGAGAGAGACCGGGCGTTACTGCCGGGCGACCCAGGGGTCCTGCTACAAAGACCCCTCTCGCGGGGTACCTGACCGACGCCCCCGCCCATCGCTTCGCCCTTTTACAATCAATTTCCATGCGGGGGGGGGAAATGGAAAAATCTGCTCCGGCAGAGTAAAAACGTAAATTAGAGGAACAGGAAACCATCCACCTATCCTATCCCAGCAAGCAACAGGCACGAGGCAGGATACACCCTGGACGGGACAACGGTCAATCACAGGACACACACACACACACACACACACACACACACACACACAC